AAAGCTCTAAAATTCAACAAAAAAATTCCTTTCTTTTCTGAGTTGGGTCCTTTATTCCATTTAAAAGACATGATTAAATAACATGATGGACTAAATAAGAGGTTCAAAATACTTGGACATTTACATCCTTAATGAGCTTATTTTTTATTTTTTTTTTTTAAATCTCTTATAGTTTTTTAGTAAGCTTATAATTTTTTAAAAAAAAAATTTTAAAAATTATTTTTTATGAAAATTAAAAATAAGTTATTTATTTTAAAAGGGTTCATTTAATTTTTCAAAATCAATATAAAAAAATCAATTTGAATAGATTCATTTGAATTTTCAAAAGCAATATAAAAAAATTAATTTGAATAGAACATGAATGATACTAAAGAGATCAATGCGGTTATAGCAAATTATATTTAAGAGTTTCGTAATAATTTATCGTCTGGGACCTCGAAAATCTTAGGGTCGGCCTGCTTTCGTATAATTCTTCGTCCCAATTTAAATGAGGACCAACTAGAAGGGGATAATGTGCGGTTGTGCACATCAACTTTACACGATCAGTTCATGAACTTTTTCATAAAGGGATGAGAACTTTTAGTGTTTTGACATCATTTGAAAAGCATTCTCAATACATTTTGATCTACATTTTCTTATATAATTTGGCAACAAAAGAATTTGTGTCCATAGAAGGAAGATCAATTGCGAGTCAAAGAGTGTTATTTTCGAGTTGTGTATAGTTCTGTTAATACCCACATAAAGAGAGGTCGCTCGACTCTAAATTGTGAAGAAAAGAAGTCGATAGCCAATTTGACACAAAATCTATTGTATTTAGGCTAGTTAAATGTAACTCCTAGGGCCTAATCCATAGGCAGAAATCATGATTGTCACAATATTTCCAATAATTGTATGGTATTATATTTTTACCTAAATGATTAATCCACTACATTATAGTAGTTGGGAATCTTTGAAAGATAAAGATAGGATTGGCTGATTGATATATCAAAGAGCCAAAAGATGAGCCAATCCCCTCCCGTGAATTCAGCCACTTTCTGATTTAAAAAGCAACAATGATTGGCCACCAATCACACCACTTATGAATTAATGGAATCTCTTCATGTGTTTGTGTGGATTTCTTGGATTCTTTACTATGGTGAAGAACAAGATTCAATGGCCAACAATCGTTCGTATAAATGCCTAATTATTAAAGAATATAGCATGCTTGACTCCAATAACATCTTTGAAGTCAATGAATTCTGGCTAGTTTCAAATATATCGTGTTTCCATCTAGATAAAGAACAAATAATGTTGACCGTCGTGGCCAACTTGTGTCTAGACAGTGAGAGGTTTAGTTTAGCAAAGAAAACGCGCTTCGATAATACATTTGACGGACAAAAAGCAGCAAGCTGGCTCCAACTTGAGCTTCAGATTGAAGCTGTAGATTGTTGAAACTAGTCCTTGTTGATGGTGACTCGAGAGAGCGAAAACGGAAGAGAATTTTTAATGTATCAATGGATTGCTCAAAAAAATGTGTTACATAAGTAAAATGGACTTTTTTAATGTGAAAATTTGTCTTCAATGCAAATTGACAAAGACTATGTCAAGCTCCTGCTGTAAAGAAGAAAATAGAATGACTACATAGTATTGAGTAATTAACTAGAAATTGTAAATGTCAAGGCTATTTGCTGTAATTGTAGAAGTGATGAAATTGACATAATTTTTGCTTATTTTCTTGGTCCACAGACAAGTGGTGTATACGGCGGACGCCTTTCCCTGCACGCTCCTAAAACAATTTATGTCATGTTCCCTTTGTTTTTATTTCACTTTTTAGATAAAAAATTTAAGATCAATTCTTCAATTGAAATTTAAATAAGAACTAGCATTGACAAGAAGAATTGTCGGAGATCTTGCAAAGTCGTCGTAATATTATGATGAAAAAGGGATTCTCGCTCGAGAATTAGATTACACGAATATGTTTGACACGTTAAAGTAAACGAGATTGGAAAAATATACATAATAATAAATCAACATAGACGAGCTTTGAAACCCTAAGAAGAGAACTCAAGACTTCGGTTTTGAATACAAATTATTGCCAACTGAAAAGTAACAAATGTGTGACTGTTGAAAGGCATGTATCTAACAAATGTGTGACTGTGGAAAGGCATGCATAGCACTTTATTCTTTATCGAAGTTAAGTAGATTTTGGCATGACACTTCTCAATGTCTTCTCTTCTTCAGCGGCTGACTAGGTTACATGTTAGCGGTCTTATAATTATTCAAGTAATCTCTGTCACTCGGCAAGAACCGTGCATCTTTTCTTTGTAGGAAAAGATTTATCTAGTCTTATGAATAGTATAGTATGGTACAATATTGCCCAAAATTCATAGTCAGCCTTGGGGTCTAATTATACTATATACTTTTTTCTCTTTAATAGAGATAAATTTTATTGCAAGGTATATTGAGCCCCGTTTGGTGCACATTTTGAATGTAAGAATGCATTTTTACTGTTAATGTGATGGGAAATATGTAGTTGGAAAACAAGGAAAAGTTATTGATGTGATGAAAAATATTATTTTATTGAAGAATGTGTGATTGAAACTGAGTAGAAGAATGAGAATGAAAAAAATAATGGGGACCAAACATGGCCTAAATATTCATACTTTGTCAAAACACCATAATATCTCTACGGTGTGTGGAAGATTCGACCCGTAGGGCTTCTCTTTGCAGGCTCACTCTAATTGACATCTACGAATAGTAGTTCATTTTTTCAACAACTCTTGATCCCTGAGGAAGACACGTAACGCCAAATAGACGTACTTCTTGCATTGATGTTTTGCTATATATCAATATTTACTTCTTTTTCTTATTATTATTACTTTCAACAATAAAGATTTTAGACAATTCATATGGTACTTTAAGGACATGCTTCAATACCCTCATCTTCCTTGCTCTAAAATATAATTGAAAATTCTCCAACTTGGCTATGGTAATTTAGGACCACCAAATTAACCTATTTGAATATATAACAACTGCTTTGATCAAATTGCAAGAGTCAATAATGAGAGGATGCCCACATCAAATAAGATAATATTACTGCAATTACTCATGACTTTCCTATATATATATATATATAAGTCATATAGTATCTAGTCAATATTGTAACCACGCTTTTGGCCATGTTAGTTTTCGTATGTGTTGTTTGCTACGTTATATTAGATTGCAGCGGAAAATAATATTCAATTATTGCATCCATATTTTAATTTCGGCCTCTTTTCTATTTGACTAGCAATACCTTTTCAAATTATATGTTATTGTCTTGCTCTCTAGACGTAATCAAAGATGGATCTATCATCGTTTATTTTACACCTCTAGTATAACGTTTATAGAAAAATAAATAATCCTACACGATGCCACTCTCTCGAAAAAAGATAAAATAAATAAAAGAAAATGCGTATCAAAAAGGAAATTCACAAAAGTTCTCGAAATGTAAGGTTGCAATTTTCACAAGGCAACAATCAATTTAATTGATTTTGTTTATATGATTTTATTCCTCATTAGGTTTAATTTCATTTAAACTACATGAAAGTATATTTTGTTGAATGTCAATTCCTACAAAATAGAATATCAACTAATTGATGTTCTCAATCTTACATTTTATCAATGATCATTTAATGTATTAAATGATAAGATATATGATATGAAATCTTAGAATTTCATTAGACATATATCACCTCACATGTCTTGTTCACGCGAAGATAACGTGATGAGTTTAAGAATAAAGTAGGATGTGCAAAATCTTTATTCATGTCATATATCCCATCCAATCAAGTCACAATTGATAATCCATTATTATTATTATTTTTAGAACAAAGCATTTCCCTATATATGTTTTGAAATACGAAAATCGCGCCATGAATGAAATGCATTACACACTCAGAATATATTTGTTACGCGATAATAATAGATGGTACAATTTGCTTCTCAACTCATTAATTTCTTTATTTTGGGGAGTTAGGAGTAGGGTGGGTGTGGTAAAGGTTGGATAAATGCATGCTTAGGATACATGAACTTGTCACACAATATATTCAAGGCATTTCCCTATCTTAGACGAATTGAAATTATAACGTACTTAACATGTGGACAATTTATTTAAACAAGCAGAGACACTATTTGAAATTAGGGTCGTTTCCTAATTTGATAGTATGTTGAATCATTTGAATTAAAAGTTCAAACTATTTAAATATTTATAAACGTATACCATTAAAATACTGACATTGACGCATATAAACTTGAAATTATTGATTTATTTATTTATTTATTTATTTTGTTTTTTATTCTTTGATGCTTGTGGAACCATCTTATGTTGAAATTCAAACTACAAAAGGGGGAAAAATCTTTATGCTTTATATCTAGATTTGTGTCATTATCGTCTCTCCAAAGAAGACGAGGTGCTTTTTGGTATGTAATGCACAAAGAACAGCAAGTTGTCCTCTTTTTGGACTAATTTTTCTTTAGTCATGCTACATTACCCACCTTGTTGACAGATAGGATGATATAATATCATATCGCATTCTATCATTAAATTGTATTAAAAACAATCATCATTTTCATTCAATTATTTCCATCCATCACACATCTGTCAATACCCACCCCCTTTTTTTATTCAAAAAATTTCACATAAAATACAAATTCAAAATTTTAAAATTCAAAGGATGGGACGAATTTTTTTGTCATCACTATCTATCAAGAAGGATGAAAAGAATCCTCTAACAAAGTAGAATAATTAATTTTTCTTAAAGGGGGAATAATTAAAGAAAGTCAAAAATCCTCTCTAACAGTGATTCTTACAATGCTTTTAGAAAAAGTTAAATTTAAAAAAAAATCGAAAAAAAAATTCTAATAAGAAAGGAAAGCTTATAAATAGAGGTACAAGAAACGGAGGGGGCGAAGGTAAGACAGTGAGCAAACGAGTTTGAGCTCAACAATTCTTCCATTACTAAAACCCCACAAAAAATTAAATGGGTATTGAATTTAAGTCCCAAAACAAGAATCAAAATGACAGTATTACCGGTGCAGCTGCACCAGTGATTCTGGGACTCCAACCATCGGCCCTTGTGGACCATGTGGCAAGAGTTGATCGGTCCCTCCTCTCCCGAATTCCCGGCGAGCCCGGTGGTTCTTTTCCTGTATTTTCTCATCCTTCCCCCATCCTTCTGTGTTTGTGTATGATGCTAATTATTGAAATTGTTAGAAATTGATTAATGCCCATTGATAGCTTAGTAGCAAATTCTTGATAGATTATTTAGTCTTTTGCCGGATTTTATGCTCAAATTAAGAGAAGTTTGAATCGTTATCATTGTTGTGTGTTAGTGTGATCTTAGAAATTGTGTTTCTGTGTACAAGATCCACTCTGGCACATTAAGGTGAAAAGAGAAAACTGCTTTCTTGAAACTTTTTAAAATTCTGGGATCTGGGTGATCGATCATCAGTGACAGGCTTTTTGCGCAGTTCAAAAGTATTTTATGACTTCTTCTTCCTTTCTTCTTTTTCCCTCAAATTAATCAATTCTGGTTAACTGCATTCAGTTTTCGATTTCCTTTGTCTCGAATCTCGACCTATATCTTCTGGGTGGAGGTTTTGTAATTAAGATTGGCTGTCCTATTCTATTTGATAAATATCTAGAGAGATTAACAAGTGCTAGATGATGCCAATTTATCAGATGGCTTGATTTGTTACTTCAACTAGACATTCCATTTGCGTGAAAATGCTTCTTCAACCAGAATTTCTTTGTTTAACTTGAAGAATGTTGATCTGGTAAATGATTTTTTTATTGTTCCCCGATAATTTTTTTAATATAAGATCGTACTTCTGGTTTTCCTTAGGTTGCAGCCGAAGATCTGAAGTTCATCTTGGAAGAGGTTAATGCACATACTGCCGCTTCTCCCGAATCTCTCTCTCCTTTGAAGACCATTGCAGGGGGAAGCGTCGCTAATACTATTAGAGGCCTGGCTGCTGGCTTTGGTGTCACCTGTGGTATAATTGGGGCCTGTGGGGACGATGAACAAGGCAGCTTGTTCATAGATAACATGAACTTTTACAATGTCGATATAGCGAGATTAAGGTTGAAGAATGGTCCCACTGCACAAGTGAGCATTGCACTGCTTCTAAATTTGCAGGCTCTTTTTAAAAAAAATTTAAATAAAAACTTTCATATCCAGAAACCTGATATATTGATTGCATGGACAGTGCGTTTGCTTAGTTGATGAATTGGGTAATCGCACAATGCGGCCATGTCTCTCTGGTGCCACGAAAGTTGAGGTGAATGCCTCTTAATTCCAGTCTACTAGTATAAAATAACTACTACTTTTCAAGGATATCTTCACCAAGCTGGTATGGGCTTGTGCATGTATCTTATTCCTATCCTTTGACAGGCTGGTGAATTCAAAAGAGAGGATTTCAAAGGATCTAAGGTGAGCCATCTCTAACACGTGGCAGTGAAAGGATGAATAGTTTCATTACTTGCTGATCTAAGTTGTCTAGTACTTTTCATATTTTCTCAATTAACATCGTATTTGAATAATTTGCTTTGTAAATTATTAATAAGGTGACGTATGGGCTGTATCAAGTTGCATAACTTTTCCGGTTTTTAATTTTCTGGCAATAACTTAATTAACATCACTCATTTGCCTTTTGTGTACAGTGGCTAGTACTAAGATATGCAAGTTTAAACTTGGACGTAATTCACGCAGCTATTAAAATTGCCAAGGAAGAGGGACTTTCTGTTTCTCTAGATCTTGCCAGCTTTGAGGTAGTACTTATTGCTTTCTTCACTTTTTGGAACATCAAAGATAATATCACGAAAGATGATCTTGAAATTACATAATTTCATGAAATTCTGAAACATTGAGAATTCTTGCCAACCAAAACACTGAATGGATGCTCTACAAGTGCTCAAGCACGATTGGATTTTATTTTCTTTACCTCTTTTATGATAATCTCACTTTACAGATGGTTCGGAAGTTCAGGCTGCCACTTGTACAGTTACTAGAGTCGGGGAATATAGATCTTTGCTTTGCCAACGAGGATGAGGCTGCAGAACTGCTGAGGTAGTTGCCAATTAATTTTCCTTTTATTCAACATCTTTAAAAAGAAAATAAAGAGTTCACAGGGTGATTATATTTGCGCAGGTTTATAAAGTGCTGATAACTTTGATTAATTTGCAGGGGTGAAAGTGAACAAGGTCCTGAAGCAGCACTTGATTTTCTGGCCAAACACTGCCAATGGGCTGTGGTAACATTGGGTCCGAATGGATGCATTGCTAAATATGGAAAAGAGGTCTGTAGAATGATATATACGTTCTCGTTTATCATATCGATTTCTGACCCGAAGTTACTGATAAGCGAAAAAGAAGATAAAATAAAAGACGCAACAACAAGATAAAGTACTCCACCTAATTATTACTCTTGTCCAGTCTTCCTATCCGCGGGACTTCTCGTTTGGTTTAATTTTCAGCCATTTTATATATTTTTATGCATGTAAGAGAGAGAATGTTGTGGGTTTGGATTTCTGTGTAGACACTTGGGTGGCCTGTCTTAATCAGAATCACCTTTTTTCTAGTTATTCCTCCAATTGTTAGTGTTATTGATAGTGTTCACTGTTCCGTGTTAACTCTGGAAATGGCTAGTACAAGTCGCTATGCAGTGATGGTCCATAACCCAGTAAGATCCTTTCTGAGTAACAGCGATGAAGTTACAAGTGGACTTTAACCCACGATAATTGGTATTATATCCATGTTTGGAAGAGAGGCTAAGATAGTATTGGACAAAATGGAGGTAGAAAAAAAAGTTAAAATCTTGTTTACTATAGTGTCTAATCGTATCCACTAGTGTGCACAAACATGCACCAAGTGGCTAATGGCCTAATGCAACGACTGGTTGGCATCATGTTCATTAGCTATTTACAAATGTCGATAGTGTTTGTTATTCTTTGTGGCACATATGATTTATTATATGTTATTACAATGTTATTATTATAGGTTGTCCATGTTCCGGCAATCAAAGAGGCAAAGGCAGTTGATGCCACTGGTGCAGGTGACCTCTTTGCTAGCGGCTTTTTGTATGGATTGGTGAAGGGACTTTCACTGGAGGAGTGCTGCAGGGTCGGCTCGTGCAGTGGCGGGTCAGTTATCCGTTCTCTTGGGGGCGAGATAGCTCCAGAGAACTGGCAGTGGATGTACAAACAAATGCAAAGCCAGGAGCTCCCCATCCCCGAGCCTGGAAAGTTGTCTTATGAAGTAATGGATTAGTGGAGTTGTTAATGTTGATATAAGTTTTCATTAGCAAGTTATTGTTATTCTTCCAGTTTGAGCCGAAGGCAACTAAGATTGCATTTTCGAGCGCTGGTTTTTATTTACGCATGCAATTGGTCTTTTAACCTTTACAGACGATGTAAGAAAAACCAAAAGTCTGATATTGAACTTGCTATATATGAAAGTCTTCTAATTCAAAGAGTCTCTATTGGTACCTCCTGCTTATCTGCGACAATATGTATACTTGCCATAACCAACTTCGATCAAAAATAAAATTCAGTCAATGTATTTAAAAGACACTCGATTGGGAACTCAGATTGTTTTACTGCACAACAAAATAAATTATCCAACCAGAACATGATATTACTTCGGTGCCAACTAAATCTCATTGTACCAGCACTTTTTGTTTAGGGGACCAGGAGTTTTAAAACGAAACAATTTCTTGCACAATGATCATCACATATCCATCGGAGCAGCACCCTGATCTCCAGTCGGAGCAGCACCCTGATCTCCAGGGGCCGCCTGATCGTCAGCAGCAGCAGGTTCCTGAACACCAGCTTGATCGGGTGCAGCAGCCTCCTCACCTGCTATCTCAAATTCATTGATCAATGCCTGTACAGTTTCTTGATCCAATATGTGGAATGCCTCTCCTACCCCTACCACAGCAATTGTGCATACAGAACTCGTCAATTTCTCTCCCTGTAAGGTTTCCCTCAATGCAAAAAGTGCATCCTTGATCAGATTTTCTCGTGATGAGGCCATGAAACTCTCAAACTTGCGCTCCAAGTATGTCTTCGCAGCCTGTGACCGAGACCCAATTGCAAAAGCTTGATATTCAAAGTAATTACCGCTGGGACAGTTGTAATACAGGTGGGCCCCAGATTCGTCTAAACCACCAACCAGAAGACCAACACCATAAGGCCGTTTCCATGACCGCTGTGTGCAAACCTGCAAAGGAAGATGATCCAGTGGAAAGTGAATAACAACGATTATATACACTTAACACGAAAAGCCAGGATGAAAGGTCACGGTTAGGAAAAGACAGACAAATATGAAGACGATCCAGTGGACGATGAATAACTAGGATTATATACACTTAGCATAAAAGGTTAGGATGAAAGGCTACTGTCAAGAAAAGAGAGGAGAAATATCTAAATGGACTAAAAAGGGCATCTCCCTCCCTTCCTCTTCTCCTTCTCCCAGTCGAAATAGGTGCCCAGACAAGCATGCATGCTTAAATACATATACTTACATGCAGATGCGGTGCTGAGCTGGGCCGGGCCCAATCCCATTTTTTGCTTAAAATTTTTTTTTTTTTTAAAGTGTAAAAAAAATTTATGTAGATTTTTTATTTTACATATCAGCCCAGCATTAAAAAAACTTTAGTGCAGCCCTGGCTCCATCCTGCTTACATGGTATTATCAAATACAAATTCTTAATTTTATTCCTCCCTCCATCCCTCTAAGCATGCATGCCTACACACACACACGCATTGTATTATCAAATACAAATTTTTCATTGATTTTCCATGGCAACCAAATAAAATGAGAATCTCACATCTCTGCAACATTACCCGCGTTATCTTTTCCTTACTAGTTCAAAGATACAAACATAGCATTAGGCCTAAAATGATCTTGCAAATCTATAGCAGATTCAACATTTGAGAGAGAACCAATAAACAAAAATGCTATCTTGTATAAACCATAAAATCCCACTGGACAACCACAACTATGCCAATTACGAGGCAAAAACCACAGAAATCTCATAACAGAAAGGTACAAAAAAAATTCAATGTAACTATTATCAAAAATTTAATACTGTAAGCAAAGTTTATGAAATCAGACCGTATAGCATCAACAAACCCTTTCCTGAACTTCACTGAAAAATGAGCTATGATTAAAACCCATAAAGCCTCTGCACTTCTCGGCGCCACCAACAAGCATGATTAAGTCCCAATCTTGTAAAGGCTAATACTAAAATATTCACGAGGATTAAAAATTCATTAGCTGATTTTCCTTCCTATGAGAACACCTTATTAACAAGTCATAAGCGACATCATGCTTCTCTCTGACAGAGAAATTCCTGTTTTCCTCTTATCATATTTTCCACATGACAAAGTAAGCTTTCATTCGGCAAAAATTAAACTCTAGGACATAAGATAAAAAGCTAAAGAACAACAATAATAAGAGGAGCTAGATTATAAATAATATCAAGTATAAAAGAAAAAATCTGAAGCAAGCAGCTTTTTGGCTGTTACTAATACAAACTAACGAGGATTCTAAATTAAAAACTGAACTGAAATTGAGCACACAGTGTCAAGGCTAACTGAAATGCCATCAGTATCTAAAGCATTCAAACATATGCTTACAACAATGCCTAAGATAATCTTTTTGTTTTTGAAGCCAATAAAACAGAGAATTTATACCAAAGACGAACCCTAAACAAAAATGTATCGTGAACACAGGATCTCCCTCCTGATAAATCAAGCAGCACTTATTGAATAACTAAAATCATTTCCTTTTTACAGTTTCCTCTTTTTCAATTAAATGAGTTTTATCAAACCCATGCCACATAATCACAATAGCCAAAGTTTCAGTCTTCCATTTCTCTCTTTATTTCCTTTTAAATTCAACTGAACAACAGTAAGCTAAATAACATTTATCTTAAGATCTCTTTTGACTTCAGTCTAGAATCTAGATATAGCCCTTGTGAAGTTGATATTTTGAGAAGTGATATTGTGAAAAGTTATTTTTTTTTTTTTTAAAAAAAAAAAAGTGTTTGAAAATGAGTGTGGGGCAAAAAGTGATTTTGAAAAAATCAATCGATAGAATAGTCATGTATTCTGTGGCAAAACTGAATAAAAAGAAGAGACAATGTTTCTAGTACCGAGGTGTTTCACCTCTGTGAAGAGGCATGACCTCGAGGCATTTGGAGACATGGCCGCAAGACAAATCAATATAACGAAATGCATAAAAAATAAAGAAACAAGATCAAAATAAACCATCTTAAAAAAAAAAAAAGTCCATCATGCGAACTGTAGGGAGTAAAAGAAGTCCCACATCAACTAGAAGTGGGAATAATCATGGGTTTATAAGGATGGACAAATATCTCCTTTGGTATGAGGCCTTTTGGGGTAAAGCCCAAAAGCAAATCCATGAGGGCTTAGTCCCAAAGTGGACAATATCATACAAATGTGGAGATATATGGTGTCCATAGCCCAACCATTGGTATCAGAGCCCAGGGCCCAAAAACTTAACCGGAGGAACGCAGTGGAAAGCGTGGTGGAGGTTCCCCCCCAATTAGCCTTGCGTCTGGCTATAAATCATCAGCGTTTACTTGTGAAGTTGATATTTTGAGAAGATATTTTGTGAAAAGTTATTTTTTTTTTTAAAAAAAATGTGTTTGAAAATGAGTGTGGGGCAAAAAGTGATTTTGAAAAAATCAGTTGATAAAATAGTCATGTATTCCGTGGCAAAACTGAATAAAAAGAAGAGACAATGTTTCTAGTACCGAGGTGTTTCACCTCTGTGAACAGGCATGACCTCGAGACATTTGGAGACATAGCCGCAAGACAAATCAATATAATGAAATGCATAAAAAGTAAAGAAATAAGATCAAAATAAACCATCTTAAAAAAAAAAAACAATCCATCTTGCGAACTGTTGGGAGTAAAAGAAGTCCCACATCGGCTAGAAGTGAGAATAATCAAGGGTTTATAAGGATGGACAAATATCTCCATTGATATGAGGCCTTTTGGGGTAAAGCACAAAAGCAAATCCATGAGGGCTTAAACCCAAAGTGGACAATATCATACAAATGTGGAGATATGTGGTGTCCATAGCCCAACAATTGGTATCAAAGCCCAGGGCCCAAAAACGTAGCCGGAGGAAAGTCTTGTGTCGAAAGTCTTCCTAACATAAAAATATGGTGGTCAGGCGGCAGGTCCCGTTTGGTCGAGGGCGACGACAATAATAACGGCACAAGATGATTGGCTGATGGATTATCATTTGAGGGGAGGTCACAAATTGTCGAGGGTGTCGGTAATAACGGCGGTACAAGATGATTGGCGAATGGATTATCGTTTGAGGGGAGGCCACAATGATGTTGTCCTTCGTTTGAGGGGAGGATTGTTGGGAGTAAAAGAAGTCACACATCGGCTAGAAGTGGGGATAATCATGGGTTCATAAGGATGGACAAATATCTCCATTGGTACGAAGCCTTTTGGGGTACATCCCAACAGCAAATCCATGAGGGCTTAGGCCCAAAGTGGACAATATTATACCAATGTGAAGATATGTGATGTTCATAGCCTAGCACGAACAAATATATAATAAATCAACTAGCAAATAGTAAATCTTCGAATTAACAATCATGTTACTAAAGTAAAAACAACCCAGAAGTCTCCTATATCATTCATCAACATTAATAGGGGAACCATCATCAATAACGGTTTCTTCTCATTTTGTCATCATCCTACACGTGCAATATTGTTGTTTCAACCCCCACCCACTCCCCTCCATGTAAAAGGCAAAAAATAGAACATAAAAAGGACCCATAAAAATTTTTTTAAGTCATAAAAAGATAGCTCAAAAGGCTAAGCTAAGTAATAACATGCCTAGAGAAGGCAAAACAAATGCACGAATGCATAAGTTGCCAAAAGACTTAGCCTTGAGGCATAACTGCATAAGCCTTACTAAGTAGAGAAGCAAGTTTTTCTGAATCAATGCGTAAGCCCATGGCATTTAATTAAAGGCTCACTTGAGGTGGGACTCGATGCATAAGTCTAAAAAGGTTTCTTTAGAAAGTGCAACTCAGAAGAAAATATTTCGAGCTTAACCCCTCTTTGAATGCAGGCAGGTATCGTAGGAGTTGGAAACTGCATTCTGTGGAAGAACAAGACTGGATACCATTTCTTGTGCATTATCTTAAAAAGAAAAACGAATGAAAAAGTTTAGTTAAAAAGAATAATATTTGACTTTTTAGCAGAACTTTCAATTATCACGGATCCAATCACAAAATTCCCACAACTCGCAATCTAAATCTAAAGATTCCAAAGGTATCCAGGATCCAACTAAATCTATCTCCACAATAGATGCACAGAATATACATATTAGGCAATTAATTACAAAAATAAAAATAAGGGATTCAGGGTTTTATGAATGAATGTAAATGATAGTTAACCTGGGCCTTGTCGGCGAGCTGGACGACGAGACGTCCGACTGGGAGCTGAGACTCGTATGTGTAGAAATAGTTGATGCACTCATTGCGCATATAACGGGAGAGGACGCGTCCGTCAGCGGTGAGGCCCGCGATTGCGACTCCTATATGATCGTCAACCTTGAAGATCTTCTTCTGGTGAGAGGAAAGCTCTGAGTTAGCCTTGTTTACACATGCCAGCACCACATGGCTCTTCGATCTCAACCCTATCGCAGCCGAGCCCTGCTTCACCGCCTCCATCGCGTACTCCACCTGGAAGAGACGCCCCGCCGGCGACCATGTTGTCACATCGGTGTCGTACTGGTTCCTGAACATTTTGTATGCGATGTCGTTGCACAAGGTATGAAGTAGTGTAGATACAGGATATTGTATGTACTTCCGTCACACTCGCTAGTTTAGAATTACTAGAGTAGAGAGAATAGGGGTTTTGTGAATTTGATTTTGGTTTTCTTTTTCTTCAAGACAAGAACAAAGAGTTTTTCAAAAAGGGATTCGGGCCTCGGGTTACCGATTGAAAAGTTTGGAGGATAGGTGCAACTATAAAATTGGGCTCAGTACAATTAGTAGGGGACACTTTACACAAAGAGGAAATTGCATGAAACCAGGCCTTTTCTATTAGGTTTTAAAAAAT